GTTAACATAAAATCTTTATATCACGTAGAATTTTATGTTTTATTTTATAAAATCACTAAACACGAGGCGAACTTTGCTTTAAGTTTATGAAAAGTTCTTATATTTTTGTCGGATTATTATCCCTAATAATGTATATATATTCCATACGTTAGATATATATACATTAAGTTAGATATATATACACACACATACCAAAAGAATAGGGGTGATAGGAGAAGAAAATATCAAATTTTTCAATGAGAATCCACAAGGTCTTCTCTAAGTACTCTTTATTTTCTTCTCCGAGGCTATGGGTTAGGTTATCTTGAGATGATTTCGGGGCTTTAGTGTCCCCGCGGCTCGGTCCTCGACCAGGCCTCCACCCCCAGGAAGCAGCCCGTGACAGCTGACTAACACCCAGGTACCTATTTTACTGCTAGGTAACAGGGACATAGGGTGAAAGAAACTTTGCCCATTGTTTCTCGCCGGCGCCTGGGATCGAACCCGGGACCACAGGATCACAAGTCTAGTGTGCTGTCCGCTCGGCCGACCGACTCCCTTTCTCCCTTGGGTCCCTACACTTGCACCAGAGGTGGTACCCCTTCTAGGTTCCATACTAGGTTGACTCCTTCTGAAGATGTATTGATGCTCCCGGACGCAGGTTCGAATCTTCGTCACGGCCCTTGTGGATTTGTTCATGTATTAATATACGAAAGTACTTAAGGAAATTCCTGTTTCAATTTTCCTCCGTGGTCTGACACTTATATATATTCCATATATAAATGTAAATAGTATAAAATAAGTTTCTTCAAATTATTTAGTTATGATCTTAATTAAATTTGAAATTCTCCAACTCACCAAGACGTATTACTAGTGACCACAACGGGGACAGAAAGCACGTGGCTTGTCAAAGATGATTTCGAACTACAATAACGCAGTAGGCAGCGTCGTCTAGTAGGCAGTAGTGGAAATAGGTTTATAAGGTGTCCGTTTTGCTTTTTTTTCCAGGGACACGTTATGGGCCGAGTGTTTTTCATTACCCCGGTGAAGCTCTGCTGATTAAGGCAGCGTCTGGGATCCTCTCGGGCGTAGGTTCGAGCCCTCGTCACGGCCCTTGTGGATTTGTTAACTACAGTAATGTCCTGACATTTACAGCTTTGGCGGGTAAGCGGTTCCATGGGTTTATAAGCCTTGAGGATGAGGTACCTGGAAGGTGTATAAAACATAGTGTTCAATGATCTCTGAGCGCATGGGTCCCTCCTACCACTTACCTGAAGATAGTACCCATATTTAATATAATCATTTATATAAACATTTTAAATGTAAATAATGTACATTTAAAATGTGCCAAAAATAAAAGGTAATAGTAAACATTAAAACGCCTTCAGTAGCACATATACTTATTTGTTAACATATCCATTAAAATTTCACACGATATAAATCTTTTATGTAATATTTTAAATTTATAGATATACTTAATACTTTTAATTATCCAGTACAAAATGTAAATTTGTTTTAATATAAAACAAATTAAATTTTAATTTATTACAGAACTATATACATAATAATAATACTGATAGTATTAATATATATTGGTCATCCGAGTGATAAAAAACGGTAAATAATAATGGATAAACTATTGTTTTGCACAATATGCTGCAGTAATTATAACACGTATATATTTTAGGGATACCACCTCTGGTGCAATAGTGGGGACCCATAGCCTCGGAGAAGAGAATAAAGGGTATTCAGACAAGACTTTGTGGGTTCTCACTGAACACTTAAATATTTTTTTCGTACCACCCCTACATGTTTTCATGTATACGTGTATATAAGATTTTGAGTCGGGGACGTAGACCTCACAGCTAATGACGTTCGATTGCGTACAGTTAAGGATTAGCGCCTAGGTTATCCTCCCCACCTGGGATACGAACCCAGGCCAAATCGCTAGAGAAAGGCAGGGCGAGTGATTTATCACTGCTCCACGGAGACTGCGCATTCTTTATATATGTGAGGCTTCTGATCACCTAGTTTAGCTATACCCCATCCTATGGGGGGTAGTGGACCCCATACCCATCCTGTGAGTGGTAGTGGGCTCCATACCCATCCTGTGGGTGGTAGTGGACCCCATGCCCATCCTGTGGGTGGTAGTGGGCTCCATACCCATCCTGTGGGTGGTAGTGGACCCCATGCCCATCCTGTGGGTGGTAGTGGGCTCCATACCCATCCTGTGGGTGGTAGTGGACCCCATGCCCATCCTGTGGGTGGTAGTGGGCTCCATACCCATCCTGTGAGTGGTAGTGGTCCCCATACCCATCCTGTGGATGGGAGTGACAAAATGTATAAAGGTATGTGGGGATACACCCAGAAGTCCGTCAACTTCTTGTGGTTGGCATCTTGGAGGTGGGCCTAGGAACGACCTGGAAAAGCCTAGTAGGCTTCTTATCTCCTATAAAGGGAAGCCATATTAAATTAGTTAAATAATGATTTTCAACCATTTAAAAAAAGCATTTAAGCTACTGTAGTTAGTCCTGTTTTAGGTTTTCTTATTTTCTTCTTTGTTATTACTAAGCATGTCTTAACCTTGACATTTATTATTTGTTATTATCTCTTTAAATATATTATTTTTGATCGAGAATTATTTTACCTAAAATTATATTATTTATTAAAAGTTATCGTAAATGTAATTATTAATCACATAAAATCTTTTCAGAGTAATGACTGAAAATATATATTTTAGTAAAGGGATTTATTTATTTGTTTCTTTTATTCACAATCTTATATATACTTATTAATGTACATAAAGATTTCTTTTGCAATTAATTTAACTATATATAAGTATGTACAGCATATATTTCTTCTTTTTTAAATATATATATAAGTATTTAACAAACATTGTGTTACATTCTCGTATTAGCATGGCACAGACATACTTTGCTAGTTCATGTAAAGGGCATTTAATTGAGGAAGGGAGGGAACAACACTAATTAAGATCAATTAATTCTAATTCGTTTGAGATTAGAAAACACTTAATGCCATCTCCAATGGTAAAGACCGCTGATGCGTCACGTTAAAACTACAATAGTCTATCCAATACTTTCATTCGTTTTCTAATTTTTGAGAAACTGCAAAAATTTATGATTTAAAATATAATTGTAACTTGATTTAATACTTTTTTCAGAGCGTGAAATTTCCGTATTTTAATTTGCTTATTTCCCATCCTAAATATTAGTTATATAAAACCATTATTTTTATTTTAATAATCGCATAAAAATTTTGCAAAGTCATGGTTAAAAAGTTATTTTTCATAAATGGCTAAAGCAATTTAAAAGTATTTACAGTATATGACGTTAAAATTACTCTAACGCATTTTTTTGGGGAGACCCGGAAGGGTTTTGTGCGAGTATAATTATCAGAAGCCTCAGACACCACTACTGGCAGTTCTTTTATTATAATTATTAACAAGCTCAGATATACGTGACGACTTACTGAATTTTGTAACTAGCTCATCAAGATTGTAACTTGCTTAGCTAAATGAATTGTGGGGTTCAGTCCCTGAACCCATATGTGCCTCTGTAACCCTTTCCGGGGTACATAATAAATGAACTAAACTAACTCAGGTATACACAGCAATGTGCTGCTATGCTATTCTGTATTTTTTTTTATTTATATATACAAGAGTTCTTACATTCTTGTACAGCCACTAGCACGCATAGCGTTTCTGGCAAGCCCTTAATCCTAATTTTCCTTGGAATACGACCCCGCCAAATCGTTTAACAACCAGGTACCCATTTTACTGTTGGGTAAACTGAGGCTAGTTAAGGATTGGCGCCCAGTCAATCCTACCTGGCCAGGATCCGAACCCAGAGCAAAGAGTTCGCGAAACGCCAGGCGAGTGTACTACCACTACACCGCAGTAACTGTGCAGGGTACACCTCTCTGTGAATATATCCTAATCATCCTAGTTAGTCGACTTCCACCTTTTATCAGTGGAGTCAAGCAATTATGGTTTGTTGCCACAAGCATCCAGTAGTTTAATGGTACCCTATACTATACTCTTCCCCATGTTCAACAGCTTCCTCGGTGACAAAATCCTCCATAGATGTTTCCTATCACCCTGGTGGCCTCGATTGGAACAGTAAGCCAGCAGTTTGTCAAAAGTCCACCCTGTTGTTCCAGAGGTTTTTCCTATATGCTTATTGAATTGAAGTACAGTAATTTATGTGCACATAATGCTTCGGCAGGTAAGTGGTTCCAAGAGTTTATAATCCAATGGGTGAAAAAGCATCTGCCGTTTTTACTCATACATTGTAGCATTGGTGAACTTTCTCCAAAGCAGACATGTCTTTTTAATCACCTCTTCCACTATTAAATATCTTTCCTTCCCTGTATTTAACATTCCCATTTTTCCCTTCACCAGTCTCTTTGCTGGATTTAATCCTTCCAAACAAACCTACCATTTTCCGAATCATTTTTCTATCACCTCAGTCGCCGTTCTTTCTGCTCGACAACTAAATATCAAAAGATACAAGCTTAAAAAGCTATGGCACAGTATGCTAAAGCATTTCTAGTTATCACTCAGAATGTCAATACATGAGCAGTGACAAGACAGATTATGTCAGAGGAGTCACGTTCACCGAGGATTTTATGAAGGGATTTATGGCTTAAGGAACAGTGGGAAAGCAAAACTTACAATTCTGAAAATTAGGACATTCTATGAGGTGTGAATCTTAGCTAAATTTTTACAAACCATTTTTTTTTATTTGTCATATGCCTCATGCGGCTTTTTTTGTCTTTGGTGGGAAGAAAGTTTGAGAAATATGCACTATTGAATGGTAACATCTAAGATATAAGCATGATTAAATATCTTAATGCATTAAAAATAAATGTAAAAACTTGGTATAGACCGAGGATTCATTTTATAAACCGAGCTCCAAATATTTCAAAATTCCATTAAACCTTTTAATTGATTTTCAAAAAATACAGTCCCCTCCAATTCTTCCATAGCATATAAAAAAAAATTCAACATTAATATAAAATTTTATAATCCAGACAGACTGACAAATAACAAGAAACAATAAAATTACCAGAATTCGATCACAATATATTTTCGATGGAAAAAAAAACAAAATTACACTTTAATTGAATTTTCATATTTAAATAGTTTCATTTGTTTATATATAAAAAAAAACTACCACAAAGTCTGGAAACATTCTAGCAAATCCAAGAATTACAAACTTGAAGTAAAATGACAATACATATAAAATAAAAGTAGACAAACACTGCATCTTCACGACAAAAAGAAGTGAAAGATGACCATGTTTGAATGATCACAACACTATGACAAAGTGAGGTAGGGCCGCCATGCTCAAAGGAACAACATCAGACACACAAGCTGATGTAATATACAAGCACAGTACAGGGAGAGACAAGGTAAGGTAATTATCAGGAGAGAGCACAAAGTCAGCAAGACTTGGAAGGAAGGAAGGAAGGAAGAATAGCACTTGGAAGGACTATGAGCACAAGGTGCTGGGATAGAACAGGGGGGAGGAATGGTACCCAGCCACGCTGACGGTCAGGGATTGACCATCAATCTGCAAGAGAGAGAGAGACCACAATACAAGTTACTGCTTCGTCGTTGGAAATAATGCCCAACATGTGACAAAAGTTTCACTTTATAAGCTCATTCTTCTGCCATCAATAAAATCTGATGTACTCACCTTTGTAACTAGTATTACATCAGTAACAATTTTCTATAATTCCATAAAATTTCAAAACCATTTTAAGTCGCTAGTACTAGGACTGTACAAATTTTCTTCTTTGTAAGAAAGGTTTTCTAATACCATCAAGAATGGCTCATTTCTCTGCTTCTTGTTTGCATGAATCAATCAAATCTAAAGAGTCAGCAGAGAAGCACATTGGTTGGCACTGCAGTGTTCGGAGATTCACCAAGACGCAGGTGCTTGTACTACTGAACCGAGGAACGCTCACCAACGTAACTTTATGGCCACCTTCACCTAGGGACAAAGACATTTAATTAAATGGACAACATCAGAAGTTAAAGACAAATACAGAGCACAGCGTCACTCATGACAAGCACTACCCAACTCACCATTAGTTTACCAATGGCCTTGGAAAACATATCTGATTTATTGGAACAATGTTTAGTATAAGCCTCTTTACTGATAATGGTAAAAATATATACAAAATTAATATGGTGTTGATTTCAATTTAAGAGGAAATACAAATACTTGACAGAATAACAATACAGGGGGCCACAAAATAATGCAAGTGGCAATAATGGTCACATGAAGAAAATTTATGCCAAACACACACACATACACATTAAGAAATATAAGAAAATTCACTTTCACAGAGTGGTAGACGGTTGGAACAAGTTAGGTGAGAAGGTGGAGGAGGCCAAGACTGTTAGTAGTTTCAAAGTGCTATATGACAAAGAGTGTTGGGAAGATGGGACACCACGAGCGTAGCTCTCATCCTGTAACTACACTTAGGTAATTACATACATCTACCACATTCTTGTGAGAATCAGTTTAGAATACCAGACAAAAATAAAGTGATTATCAATGGAAGGCAACAAGACTGGGAGGCTATAATATAGTCGAGAGAAAGGTAATACAACCACCACAGACAAACACTTATTCAGCAAATGAGCGATTTGCTTTACAAATATTTGCCATTTTATTTTCAGGGCTGATGCACCATATCAGGCACAGGCCAGCCTAGAATAGGTTTGTTAGATAATGGTTAGTTCAGCAGAGCACGGGCAGTTGCTGCACATTTTATAAACATGTTCTATCCAAGTAACTCAAATGGCAATGGATGAGACTTATACCACCATTATTACGACCTAGGTACATTTTATGTGGGGCCGGTCGGCCGAGCGGACAGCACACTGGACTTGTGATCCTGTGGTCCCGGGTTCAATCCCAGGCGCCGGCAAGAAACAATGGGCAGAGTTTCTTTCACCCTATGCCCGTTACCTAGCAGTAAAATAGGTATCTGGGTGTTAGTCAGCTGTCACGGGCTGCTTCCTGGGGGTGGAGGCCTGGTCGAGGACCGGGCCGCGGGGACACTAAAGCCCCGAAATCATCTCAAGATACCCTCAAGATACCCTTAAGATAGGTAGCGGTGCCTTCAACTATGCTAAAAATGTGCCAGCCATCCTTTTATATAAAACCATTTCAGAGAAGCGGTAGAGGCCTAAAGAATAAGAGTTGAGGAAAATTTATGTATTGGGACATATTTGAATTGCAAATAATGTACATGAAAAGTTAACAGATGACCATAAGAATAAAGGAAAGACTAGGAAAATAAGATTGCATAAATGTAAAGGGGTGAGAAAATCATTGGAGGAGGATGGAGATCAAACCAGCATTCTGGTTAACACCAGATGCACACCATAACCCCCATTCCCAAGACCACCACATGCTAACCAAGACACTGGTTCAATCGCCCTCGTCCGGCTCCAACAATTTCCTCATAGACATCACATCATTGTAATTTCCTGATATATTTCCTGAGATAGATAGATAGATAGATAGAGATATATATATATATATATATATATATATATATATATATATATATATATATATATATATATATATATATATATATATATATATATATTATTAAATATGACCGAAAAAGTACTTTTTCGGTCATATTTAATAATATATGTCTACAGGAAAGACTGCTACCAAAATATACTAATATATATATATATATATATATATATATATATATATATATATATATATATATATATATATATATATATATATATATATATATTTATGTATTCAAATGACTGACCAACAGCAGAGGCAAATGTCTGAAGACAAAAACAGAATAAAAACACAACACTTTCTCCCTACCTTTCATAATGCGACTGCCGAAAGATTCTTGATTCCCAGCAAACATAACGTCAGGACACAAATCCATCACAAATGGCTCTTCCTTGTAGTAGGGATATGCCGCTGGAGAAGAAAATGGACAATACAGTACAAGAGCGGTCACTGTTGAATTCAGTAATAAATTAATGAAAACTACCATCTTATCTTGGTAACAACCTGAGATTGTCCTGCCACTGAGTTCTGTATAACCCAAGCACAGTCCTAGGAATAAAACAGTACAGTACTGTATATAATATTCTGGATTACAGGTACTTGAAGCCAAACCATTTTTGAAACCATAACATCAGTTACCTTTAACATACTGCAATGCTTTACCATGTAAGCACAGTATAAGGTGTAATAAAACCAGCCTTTTTTATATATATATATAAATAAACATTGCTATTACAGAACTAAAGTATTATATTTTGTTTAAAATTTGATGTAGCTATTACAGAGGAATATTAACAGCCTTGACAAATTTATATTCCAAGAAATTGTAATTATATTAAACAATGCAAGCTGTATTAACCATTTTTACTAGCAAAACAATGCAGATTGAAATCTAGGCCAGGAAATAGGCTGGCACACTATTCCAGATAAGCAATTTCAATATAACTTACAACATAACTTACTAAGCGTGTCTGGTGCCGTGGGCGCCAGATGACCCCACTCACACAACCGCTCCAGTACGTCAAGAGGATCCTCAACTGTTGAACACTGGCTAATATTTTTCACATTCTGTCCCGACATTCCAATAAATGCTCGACCACCAATCTCACATTCGTATGGATTTGTTACACTCTTCATTGATGAATATACACTAGCCTGAAAAATTACATTTGCATAATATGGATTATTAGTCAAAATCCTAATGTCAGATAAGGTCATAGGTAACAGCTGTTGTTATTATGTTGTGGCACAATATAAACATTATTGGTGCCGTTTAAGGATTGAGGAGTGAGAATGTTTAAAAAGAAATTATCCTTAAGCAAAGCAAGCTTACTAGTATTCTTCCGCTGCACTAAACGTAGGACAACTGCATTTAACATCCTTGACCTACACTAAAGTAGACCTACCAGATATCCTCAAGCTGTACTAAAAGTAGTTTATTAAATACTGTGTCACACACACTACAGAAGGCTTACTACACAAGTTTAAGCAACACAAAACAGGCTTACTAGATATACCTGTCATGTGTTACTTAATATGCCTATACTCAAATGTAACTACTAGATATTAACATACAGTACATACACACACAAAAATTAATTAAAACTGCATGTAAATCACCATCACCAGGTCTCACCTTAGGAAACATACAACGATGAAGCGGTTGTTGAGGCATCACATTATTGGCCGGGTCAAATTCCCCAGGCATGATGTCCACCGGGCAAACACTCTACATCAGGAATTGACAAAAATATATCACCAAAAGTTGGTTGATTGTTTCTGCCAATGAACAACACTTGAACAAATGTTACGAGTGTCTTTTCATTATGTTTAAGAAATGACATCCATTATAAAATCTAAACTACTCAACTACAAACAAGTTATAAAATCAAACCAATGATATTTAAAGCCAATGCAAATACCAAATAATTCAAGAACAAAACATTTTAGAATTTATCCCACTTAATACACAAAAATATTGAGTGTCATTCGAATCAACAAACACCATCGCCCCCCCTCACTGAAAAAAAAAACCTACCGCAATCTGCGTGAGGATGTCGTCCAGCTCCTTCATCAGCTTTACCTTGTCTGGCTTCTCCTTTTTGCCCTTGGCACTACTTACTGAATTGCCTGAAACATCACCATCATTTATTCCGCACATCCCAAAAATTACATATTTAAAAACAAAACTAGGGAGCTAGCAATAAATATAAGCTCGAGTTGGTTTTAACATTATTGTTCATAATAAAAGGCTTTTCATTATTATGCAATACATGAACCCCTGAAGCGTATTATAATGTTATGGGAATTATTCATTTACCGAGCAGCAAAAGTTCGTGTATTATCTAGGGCAAACCACACGAAAAATTTAAGGAAGCCGAACATCAGGACTGGACATACTAAAACAATTCTTAATGATATTCCTAAATGAGCACAATCTAAGAAAGAGAGAGGGAGAGGAAGGGGGGGTTGGTATCATGAAAGAGCCATTGGAAACAGTCAAAACAAAATTGGTTGGATTTTGGTTTAAAGTTTCATGTAATTTCGTTCACCTGGAATCAAAGCGCTACCTTTGAAAAATAATGTTCAGGGACTTTAGCACAGCAAGTATTGGACATGCCAGTGAAAAATCTGTAGTCATGTTCTCCTGCTAGATATTCATATGATATTTAAATTAATATTTTGTTTAGACCAGTCTAGCATGGGGGAAAAAAAATGATGTAAATGGTATCTAATGTTGCTCTGATGAAGTTTTTATCAATTACTGTATATTCGATGGATGTACCATTAGAGGCAGTTGGTTTCTTCGGAAAACCACTGAGCATAATTAAGACAAAATTACATGGTTAGTTTTCATTTTAAGTTTGACAAGTTTTTGTTCACTAGGGAAATAAATACTAATAATCCTTGCTTCAAAATCTTCCTATCATCAGTACTATATAATAAAATTGAGTTGATAATCAGTATTATATATTACCAGCAATAATTATCCTGGAGACCTGAGCGACTGCTGCCTGCTCTTGAGAATGTCCCAGGTGGCCCGACACGTAGTCAACCAACAACTCCAGCGGTAAGAGACTGTCAACCGATGCACTCAGCTCCAACCCCGACACTAACAAAACAAACCTACCCACAAGCAATGCTAAACAATTACCACGAGTCCAAAGTCTATGCATATGATAACCCAACCCACGCACATAGAAGTACAAATGAAACTGATGACATTTGAGTCCATCCTGGACCTTTATCAACGTGCAAGTTGGGTTATTAATTTCAGCCATATTACTGCAAATTATAGTTTAATCAAAACATAACATGTTATTATATATAATAATTTTATCTTAAAATTGCCCATTTATTAGAAGAAAAAAATCTGCATCTGCTACAAGATATCAAATAACCCTGTAACTATTTGAGTTTAAAAGCCATTGATAAAATACAAACATTATTTATTACAATAAATTGTATACAGATTAACAATGCAGGAAGATTTACCTCAAAAATTATTTAGCAAAATATTGAATAGTAACTGAAAGCAACTGTGATCAGCTGGTTTAGTACACAAAAGTAATCGCCACCCAAAAGGTGCGGACATTAACGTACCTGTCTTCCTCAATTACTTCACGGGGAACGGGAGTGGGAAGGCCAGCAAAACACACATCCTCAACGATAAATTTGCCCCCGTCGCCTTCTTTGCCGAGCACAGCAGAAACCAAACCTGAAATGTCACAAGCCACACATGACACCATCATGCTGTCACATCTCAAGCCACACCACAAGCATCAAGCTGTCACACATCACAAGCCACACCAGGGGCATCAAGCTGTCGCATCACAAGCCACACCACGAGCATCAAACACATGTTAATCAACATGTATTTGTCAGAACATGTGTCACAATTTACACATACTGTACTGTAATTCAAAATTATGATAAAATTACCCAAAATACAAATATAAATGGGAAAAAGACAATACAGTATGTAACAAAATGTAAATACTATATCAGCAAAAGAAATTTTAAAATGGGATATAAAGGGAGCCCCTTTTAACTCAACTTTATGCTCTTAAGACAATGCACTTTTTGTTAATTTATGCTTATACATAGTGTGTCCTACACTCACTTCATTCAATTCCTACACCAGTTGACCAATCCATACACTAGAAAATGAAGGGACGACGACGTTTCGGTCCGTCCTGGAGCATTCACAAGTCGATTGAGAATCAACTTGAGAATGGTCCAGGACGGACCGAAACGTCGTCATCCCTTCATTTTCTAGTGTGCGAATTGGTCAACATACTTCAGCCACGTTATTGTGACTCGTCACCTCCTACACCAGTTGCCGAACTCCTGGATAACTATATACTGCTAGGTGAACAACAGCATCAGGTGAAAAGAAACATGCCCGACCATTTCTGTCTTGGCTCAGAATAGTACTTGGGATCCTCAATTGCTAGATGAGGATATAGACATCTGTACTACAGAACCAATGTTCAGTAATGTACGGTACATCTACCTCACAGAATTATCTAAAGCACCACATGACAAACGTGTAATGATCATACTGTACTGAAGTGTAGATCCACTCTTCAGTGTAACAGCCGGAGCCGAGTCTATTGTCCCATCTAGGAATAAGTGTGGAACTAATGGCTCGTCTAAATTAATAAACATTTCGCAGGATTACCGGTTATAAGTTTTGGCACATCTATATTGCCCACAAGCTGTATTCTCTGCACTTCGTCCTCAAGAATAATATCGTCCTCAGCGCTCACATACTTCTCAACAACCGGTTGTGGCATCAGGTGGTGCTGAAAACAATATATATGAAGTTATTATCCAATAAATATTTACTACACAATGATCTAAAAAACAGGTAAACGGGTAAACTAACGCTTGTGTACAAATACAGTAATGGTATGGTAGTTTGAATGTAAGATATTTACAGTATTGTTCCACAAGTTTCCCAATTCCACATGGTACTACATAACTAATACATCACATCTATAACAGAACTCTCTTCTTTCATATGCACAACCTCAAAAAATCGATCACTATCTCACCAGCTCAGCCTTATCACACCACTAAACATTCATCTACTGTACTTTAATCAGGCCATTTCTCCATTTGCCACATTAAAAAATGCAACTCACCTAACGTATTTAGGCTGATGGACAGATAACATCAATATTAAAAAACTTTACTAATACTGTACTGCACATCACATTTTAAACAGATTGGTCAATTCTGTAAACAAAATTAATCTTATTAGGTGGGAGAACAGATTGCTTTATTAAGTTTGCAAACTATTAAAGCCAAAAAATTTGTGTACAGTTATGTAGTCATAAGGCTTTTGTTTGGTATGTTATGTTAGGCATTTTGTTTACAGTATAATTTTTATATTCTCCCAAGGGCATAATGAAAACAGGGTAAGGGAACATAAACATAAGGGAAAACAGGGCATAATGTTTGATATTAAATCCTAAAACCACAATTACATGCCTGAAATCTGAACTTGAATCTTATTTAGTCTGCAAAAAGGTTTCAGGTCAAAACATAAAATTGTGTAAAAAACTGTAAACTTTGACTCGCGTTTGACATTAGAGTACATAGGAAAACTTACATGTGTAGTTCTTATAAAAGACAACAAAACAAAATATTGTGGATGGATAAATGTTCATGTATGCATGAGAAATTCAGAGGATTAAAAATTTATATTCTACCAACATTTGAGAAGTCAAAAACTCACTTCTTCTGATATCTCCTTGAGTATGGATGGCTTGAGTTCTTGGCGTTTAAAAAACGTACCAACAATATAGCATCTTCCGCAATCTTCACTCAGCTCCTGGAGTCGCTTTAAGCTGGCATTACCTGAAAAGAAAAATAATTCCAGTCTCAGATTGCATTCACCACAATTATAGTAACAACAATAACAATAATAACTATTATTATAATAATTTATTGTGTTGAGGGACAGGTAGCCAGTGTAAAATTGTGTTTTTAGTAGAAGTGTATTTTCACAGCAAAACTTAAGTGGGAGTGTTTTTTGGCATGATACAATATTAAATATGCATTATAAATTTTATCAAGATCAGAACAGTCGCCGTGGCGAAGTGGTAAGACTTAAATCATAGACATAAATATAGCACAAAAGTATCAAATAATATTCTATTTAAAGGCCTCCTTAAATAGAATATTAAAAATTCTAGGCCAGGCGAGTGCCTGATGTTTCGCGAGCACTTTGGCATAGGTTTGTATCCTGGCTGGGGAGGATTTACTTGTCGCTAATCCTTAAATGTAGTCTCTATTTACCCAGCAGTGAACAGGTACCTGGTTGTTAAATGATTTGGTGGGTCGTATTTTGGGGAAAATTAGAATTAAGGACCTGCCCGAAAAGCTATGCATGCTAGTGGCTTTACAAGAATGTAAGAACTCTTGTATATATAAATAAAACAAAAACCAATCTACTAAGGGCTTAGTAGATTGTAAATGTATCTATGTACATTTCATAAGCAGGAATTAAGAAAAAAAGCATTTTCTTTAATTCTATTTATTAATATTCTATTTAAGGCCTTTAAATAGAATATTATTAGACACATTTGTGCTACATTTATGTCTATGATTTATCTTTCTTGAGCAATATGCAGGTCTAGCTACTATTATGAATGTCCTTGAAGGTGTTAACACCGGGACATAGTGGATATGCACTATGCACCTCTCTAGGTGTTTACCAGTGTCGTCCTCTATTATAAGGACAGTAATTCTGCTCGAATTACGGGCTCACCATAGCCTGTGCTACATGGACATTTCGTTCCGAGTAGCTAAATCTAAAACAACAACATTCTGCTTGAAAACAAGACATTCAATTAAATATAAACTATTAAATTGGACAATTAAATTATGGTTTACATATAAACCATGCACAGAAGTGTGGATAACAGGATAAATTAATGTTTATTCTAACAATATTGTGTATGTTAAATGTTTCAATATGTTATTGGGATTTATTCAAAGTTCATGGTATTTTTACAATGGATTTTTAATGAGGCAAACAACAAAAATTTAGACTCCGGAGTCCTGTCACCACTAATTCTCTGCAGGTGAATGACCTTTGGTTTACTCTATCATATTTGTCACCTTCACAGATATGGTAAGCTTGGATAAATAATGATTTTGCCATCAAATACAAAAAGGTTATAATAGGCGAACAAATCCACAAAGGCTGTGATGAGGATTCGAACCTGCCTCCGAGAGCATCCCAGACGCTGCCATAATCGACTGAGCTACGACATGGTCAAAAGGAGTTGAAACCGAAGTTCTACTGAACTTACTGGATCCTGCAGCCTCTGTTAGGTTGTAATAGGCATTTCTGGTTAGGGAAGTAAGAAATGGGGTGATGGCCTGAAGCCCTATACTCAGGCCAAGATAGAGGAAGAGGATTTTTGTTTTTCATTTATGATGACTGTAAAGGCAATGGTGCGAGTGCACTCTGGTAAGGTTTGCGATGTTGTGTACCTTGACTTTAGCAAAGCTTTTGATACAGTGCCACATGAAAGATTGATTAAAAAGATAGAGGCTCATGGTATTGGGGGTGCTATATGAAGTTGGATTAGGGCATGGCTATACCAAAGGAAACAGAGTTAGTATAAATGGGGTTAAGTCAGAATGGGAAAATGTTGTAAGTGGAGTGCCTCAAGGATCTGTCCTGGGACCTCTGTCGTTTATAATATATATAAACTAATTTAGATTCAGGTTTGAGTAGCAACATTTGCAAATTTGCCGATGATACAAAAATCGGTAGGGAAATTAACACGGAAGAAGACTTACTATCACTTCAAGTTGATCTAAATAGGGTTTTGAAAATGGTCAAAAGATTGGCAGATGGATATATATATATATATATATATATATATATATATATATATATATATATATATATATATATATATATATATATATATGTCGTACCTAGTAGCCAGAACGCACTTTTTGGCCTACTATTCAAGGCCCGATTTGCCTAATACGCCAAGTTTTCCTGAATTAATATATATTCTCTAATTTTTTTCTTATGGAATGATAAATCTACCCTTTTCATTATGTATGAGGTAAATTTTTCTTTATTGGAGTTAAAATTAACGTAGATATTTGACCGAACCTAACCAACCCTACCTAACCTAACCTAACCTATCTTTATAGGTTAGGTTAGGTTAGGTAGCCGAAAAAGTTAGGTTAGGTTAGGTTAGGTAGGTTAGGTAGTCGAAAAACAATTAATTCATGAAAACTTGGCTTATTAGGCAAATCGGGCCTTGCATAGTTGGCTGAGAAGTGCGTTCTGGCTACTAGGTACGACATATATATACATATATATATATGTCGTACCTAGTAGCCAGAACGCACTTCTCGGCCTACTATGCAAGGCCCGATTTGCCTAATAAGCCAAGTTTTCCTGAATTAATATATTTTCTCTAATTTTTTTCTTATGAAATTATAAAGCTACCCATTTCATTATGTACGAGGTCAATTTTTTTTTATTGGAGTTAAAATTAACGTAGATATATGACCGAACCTAACCAACCCTACCTAACCTAACCTATCTTAATAGGTTAGGTTAGGTTAGGTGCCCGAAAAAGATAGGTTAGGTTAGGTAGTCGAAAAACAATTAATTCATGAAAACTTGGCTTATTAGGCAAATCGGGCCTTGAATAGTAGGCTGAGAAGTGCGTTCTGGCTACTAGGTACGACATATATATATATATATATATATATATATATATATATATATATATATATATATATATATATATATGTCGTACCTAATAGCCAGAACGCACTTCTCAGCCTACTATTCAAGGCCCGATTTGCCTAATAAGCCAAGTTTTCATGAATTAATGTTTTTTCGTCTACCTAACCTACCTAACCTAACCTAACCTAGCTTTTTTTGGCTACCTAACCTAACCTTACCTATAAATATAGGTTAGGTTAGGTTAGGTAGGGTTGGTTAGGTTCGGTCATATATCTACGTTAATTTTAACTCCAATAAATAAAAATTTACCTCATACATAGAGAAAAGGGTTGCTTTATCATTTCATAAGAAAAAATTATAGTAAATATATTAATTCAGGAAAACTTGGCTTATTAGGCAAATCGGGCCTTGAATAGTAGGCTGAGAAGTGCGTTCTGGCTACTAGGTACGACATATATATATATATATATATATATATATATTATTTGTGTGTGTGTGTATGTGCAGAAATAATATTAATAAAACAATTAACTTCGTGTAGTGTACTCTATATATTAAAATATATTACTTTGAAACCCATATCATTCAATAAAAAAAGATTGGGCTACTCTTATTACAAATTTGCTACTTTTAGAGCGTCAGCTCGCTACTTTCCGCAATTTAAATCTGGCAACCGTGCTTGGGCTGGACTGTAGAACAACGGTCTCGCTTCATGCAGGTCGGCGTTCAATCCCCCGACCGTCCAAGTGGTTGGGCACCATTCCTTCCCACCGTCCCTTCCCAAATCCTTATCCTGATCCCTTCCAAGTGCTATATAGTCGTACTGGCTTGGCGCTTTCCCCTGATAATTCCTTCCTTCATAAGATGAAGTAATACCTCCATAGCTAAAACAGATAAGTATTAGCGAAAATACTTACCATTAATGTATAATGTTCAATTGTCAATGCATAACTATTGAAATGGAATAATCTCTGTAACTAGTTGACATTATAATTATAAGGTGCGCAACATAGATGTAATTGTGAATGTAATAATCTTTTCTGAGGTCTAATGAAGACCTTTTGTGCCTTCTGGAATCATTTTTGCGCTATTGCTCACAGGATGAGTGCCCAGTCTTTTTATTTTTTTTATTTATATATACAAGAGTTCTTATATTTTTGACAACCAGGTACCCATTTTACTGTTGGGTAAACAGAGGCTACAGTTAAGGATTGACACCCAGTAAATCCTCCCCGGGCAGGATACGAACCCAGGACAAAGTGCTCTCGAAATGCCAGGCGAGTGTCTTTCCACTACGCCACAGGGAATGATTAGGCTACAAATAGCGAATTGGGATACTTCTGAGAGCCCCGCGCTCCCAAATTTTTAATTTCGCTACTTGCTACTTTTTGGGCTAATTTAAAAGTAAGATTGGCTAATTTGGGCTATTAAAGTTAAGAATGTACGATTGCGAGTTACATGAAAGTAACTAAGCTATAAATAATTGTAATTAATAATAATTGTAAATATTAATTAATACTAAATAATATTATTTAATAAATTAGTCCCAATTCGCAGGCGATGAGTCACAATAACGTGGCTGAAGTATGATGACCAGACCACACACTAGAAATTGAAGAGACGACGACGTTTCGGTCCGTCCTGGACCATTCTCAAGTCGATTGTGATGAGGACAGGTAGGGACAGGAATTAAATAGGCAAGAGAGAGCTGAGGAGGAAAGTCAGGTATAGGGGATAGTAGTAATGAGAACTGCAGCAGGCCTATTGGCCCATACGAGGCAGCTCCTATTATAACCACCGAAGGAGATGGTAATAGGAATAAGAAGAGGATAGCAAGGGAGCGTAGAAGACAATGAACAGAAAAAGGGAGAAGAGAGAAAGAAAGGGAAAGAGAAAGACAGGGAAAGAGAAAGAAAGAAATGGAAGGGGGAAAGCTTATGTTAAGTCACGTTTGTTAGAAAGATTAGAGCATTTGAGTATATACTGTGAAAGGGAAGAGTCCACAGCAACAAAGCCAGGACTCAAGTTCATGTTGGGTACATTGTTATAAGAGCCGATTCTACAAGACGGCGTCTGTGTAGAGTAGAGGCAGGAAAGATTATTTTGGAGGAAGACCAATCAATGGGAT